TACCAAACAAAGAATCCTTCACTTCTTTATCCAACAACCGCATCCTTAACCCCTCTAAACTGCTCTCCAACACGTACGAAAATAGACCCTTAACATAACCACATCGGATCCCATCCTCAATCTAAAATAGACAGGTATAAAAAGATACGACAATCTCCTTTAATTCGTCCGTCTCGCTACACCAATTGCCCACATTATCCTTAAGATCAAGAATTTTGTTCCTCCGACGCCGAGCCATGAATGAAGCGTGAAAGAATTTTGTGTTCCGGTCGCCCCGAATAATCCAATTAGCACTGGATTTTTTGCTCCAAAAACTCTCCTCATGCTCCAAAATCATTCCAATTCAGATTGCAACTGATCCTCTAACTCGCACAAAATGTCAGAATGATACGAAAATAATGCTTTCTTAATCCCTCGAATCCGAGCTATTAAAGAATGATTCTTTCTCCTAATATGCCCGAAATTTTCAGAATTCCAAATTCTCATATTCTCAATGAATTCCCACAAATTAGATCCCAAATCCTGATTATTACTCCACACCGACTAAAGAAACTCATAAAACTAAGGGTGCTCCTTCCAGGCTGCAATATAACGAAATGGTTTACTTCCCTCCACAACCTCAATTAACTAATACGAAAAAGAATTGGCTGGTGATCAGACCCCACACGATCAAGGTGAACAACCTGATCATTCGACCACGATTCACACATCTTACCATTAGCTAGACAACGGTCCAATCGCTGATGAAGTGTTCCACGAGTCTATGCATAAGGTTGTCTTTCATACCCTAAATCAACTAAACACGCATCCTAAATGAACTCTGCAAAAAGTTTACTGCCCCTCGTGATACTTCTAGCACCCCCTTTACGTTCCTTTACATTAACAATCGCGTTAAAATCACCTCCCAATAACCACGCTTCTGATTCTCCTAGATCCAGCTCCAAAAACGACTGCCACAAGTTCCTTCGAATGGTTTTGCGAAGGCTAACATATACAACAGTTATGTACACCCCATCCCTTTGATCACTATGTCGACAATGAAAATGGAAAAACTGATTAGAGATAGCAATAACATCCAACTCCACCGAATCCTTCCACATCACGCACAGACCACCGCTAAAACCTCTAGCTTTACCCGAAACAAAAAGAAAATTGCAACTTTGACAAATCCTTATCCTCTTGTACGCCACTTATACGAGGCTCCAAAAGAGCCACCATACATGGTTGAAAATCATTCATAATAGAACAAAACATACGCATGAAAGTGGTACGCACCGCCCCTTGACAATTCCAAAATAAACAATTCATAATGAAATAAATGAAAGAGACAGAACCAGCCTTAGTCCCACATGGAATCCTTTAGATCATCCCCAGATTCAAAATCTTCCATCAACTCTCCATCGCTTAATAAATTGGGCTCTACTAGCTTCATTCGAATGTTGGGATCCCAATTCTGAGGATTCCCAATATCCAAATTCCCAAGTTGTTGCGAAAGCTGCTGAACCCATTCCTGAGTTGTTAGTCGTCCACCTCTTTTACTAGTCCCGACTTCAGTATCCTTCCCTCGGTGTATACTCCCACTAGGTGCAAAATGGATCCCTTTCACCTAATGGCTCAGTTTTAGAGCAAGATGCTTCTTGTCATCCGAACCCTTTTCCACGATTGACACAGTTTTATGAGTACCAGGAACATGAGAGATCGAGTGTGGCACCACTTTAGTTGGTGTCTTATCAGTAGAGGGAATCACCTGAATTCTATCCACCGTGGGACTATCTTTACTCTTCTTCTTACTAGGATTTGATGGCATATAGGTCTCATTGAGGTTGACACCTTTAGACTGATTAGCCATGGCTGAACTCTCTAATGGAGCCTTGCTTTAGCCTTTGCTGAACTGTTTGTGACAGAGGTCTTTGGACGTTACCACCACTTTCCATGGCGGTAACCTCATCATGATCATCTACCAAAACCGAGAACCTAGAATTACTTGTACCCACTGTTGTTTTTTCATTGTTCACATTCCCTCTTACCTCCTTCGAAACCCGACACTTCCTTTTATCGACAACCATCCATGAACCATAAAGGTCCTCGCCACGGGAATCCAAAGTCTTGCCTGATTTCGTTGGTTTACCTTGAGACGTAGCTTCCGGGGTACTTTCATCCGCAACTGATTGCTTACCACATTCCCCATTGGAATGGCCATAAATACCACGAGTAACAAACTTAACTTAAACCCTCATACTACAGTTTCTGAATAAACATATCTATTCCGATACAAGACTTCTAGGGTTTGTTAAGATCTACAATCAAAGCTAGTCTTGCAAACTTCCCCCTACCCGCTACTTGTGTGTTATAGTCAACCTTCACCACTCTCCCAACAGCATCCGCGATTCGACAGAATAACACTTTCGAATAATATATATATGGGAACCCCGGTTACCGAACCCAAACAAGCATTTGAGGATGATGTTTCTCAGCCATTGAAAATGATATACTCCATGGTTACACCGTGAGGTAACTAACATAGATTGTCCAAGTCCCCTCGATCAAGGCTTTCACACAATGTCTCCCCTCGAAAACTTAGTACAATAATAGTTGTTGTCTAAGTCTACCAATTGCACCTCTCCAATTGGCTTCCATAGTGCAAAAACTTTAGACAACAAAGTCTTAATCCCAATAGAATGATCAAGCAAATGAATCACTAGAACTTGACTCATGCTTTTATCGATCTTGTCACGAACACGGTTCGAAAATTGCACCATAGTTATGGGACCTGAATTGTCCACAATGCAATCCTCATCCAAAACTCAACATCATCTATATTACACAGAAAATGAGCCAGCCATGTCATTTCCGGGTTGCCCAAAACAATATAAGTATAAGACGGTCTGCTGACTTCTGTTCCTCCTGAAAGCCATCTCGCTCCCCAGTTTGATCCTACGCAACCTCCCTACCATCAGCTTCCATATCGACTGCACCATCTCCATGATAATTCTCATAATTCATCTCGAGATTACAATTTTTTTTCATCTCTTGAAGCCTCCAGCAGTTAGTCTGACCTTTCCAGGAATGATTGTGATGACATCACCGCCCCATGCTCTGGTGTCCGCCCCGGTTGACTTGAAACCTGCGTGAGGGGTTTACGTTAGGGTTTAAGTTTTCCATCCTAAATAAATATTAATCCCTTCATAAATAAAATAGGTCCAAAACATTAATTAAAAAATTAAAATTAAAACATAAAAAATATATATGATCAAATAAGTAATTTACCTACTAAAAAAAGCTTAAATTCAAGTTCCATTTAATTTAACTTATATTTATTAAAAATACACCTTTCCATTTAATTAATAACCTTTAGTGTTTTAAATAAATATTAATCCCTCCATTTAATTTATATTTACTAAAAAATTATTATTATTATTATTAAGTATATTAAGGGTTGTTTGTTTACTTCAGAATGATTAAGCGCTAAATGATTTAAATGTTGAATGATTCAGAGGCTCTGAATAATTAACTCTGAATGTGACATGTTGTTCGATAACGACTCTGAATCATTCAGAATAATTCTATGCTAAATCATTCAGTATTGTTTTACTGAATTAGTCAATACTAAATCATTTAAAGGTACGAAATAAACGCTCTAAATAATCAACAATTCAACATTCAACACTAAATAATTTTATTAAAAGACAAACAAACAATCCTAATTTATTTAGAAATGACAAAAGCCACAATGTTGGTTATGGTTCGGCGAACCTTATTAAAGGCGACCGTCGCTATGCGAGAGCAGTACCACTCCATAAATTCCTTTCAAATTTACCAAAACACCCTTTCCAGCAAAGCTTTTCATATTTTCAGGATCAAATTCGATAAAAGGTCCTTTTACTTTATCACCCGTCGAATCCGCTTCTCTTCTTATCAGACTAAACTAAACATACTAATCTTATTTAGTGATAGCTCTAATTACTGACAGATTCAAAAATATTTTTGAGGATAGAAACACATATTAATTATTAAAAATTTTAATATGGGGTGGACACAGATAAAATTGTGTGGTGGGTACCCATAATAAAATGGACAACTAATATAAAGAAATTTAGATTATAGAATGAACACGTGCTCACCCTATATATGCTTTGCATCCGCCACTGGCTCTAATATGATGGACAAGGAAGGTTCCTTGAACAGGTGAATTTGATATTATAAAATATCAAATTTTTTATGAAATATCTTGATATTATCAGATTCTACAATCATTTTTTAGAATTTTAATCTTCATGCATGTTTAAACGTCTTATATATCATTTAAAGTTGTGTTAAAAAATCGAGTAATTTTCAAAGCTCCTAATAAAACCAAATATCCATCTTCCTTACTTGCATCTTAGGACTCACCCTGCAGCTCTTGATGTATTTAACTTAGGATGTATTTAACGAAAAAAATCAAATTATAATATACGGACAAATTCACTAAAACTACACAGTATGTGGACCTTCTATTGAATTCGACCAATTATTTTTGACTAAAACACCTTTTGCAGCAATGTTTTCCATATTTTTAGCATTACTTCTAACTTTTTATTTGTCGTTTTCATTTGCATTTCAAAACCATCAAAGTTCACTCCACACTTCCATACTTGAAGAGAAAAAGAAATATAAAGTACATTATAGGTCGCTACACTATGATCAAGTAATCCTTTCGGCTACAATAATTTTAAAAATTATAAAATAATCATTAAAATTTCAAATAATTAGAGATAATCATTATACTTATTAAAATGTAATAAATGATAATTTATTTATCTGCTTTTCTACCATTGATTATAATGTCGCAATAAGTATTTTATAATATTTCAATAAATGTAATGGTTATTTTATAATATTTGAAAGTTTAGTTACTAAACCGATTATTTTGACATAGTTAGTGACTTGTGTACTTTACGCGAAAAAAACTTTCCACTCACACTTAACCTACAAAGACAGTAATACCCATAAATAATCACCATTATTGCACCTAAACCAACCGAAACACTCAGTAATTTGTTCCAAAATACCTGTCCTAATCCGTCCAAACGAGAACAAAAGTGTCGCTTTTGTCTAGTTTTTCCATTATCGAAGAGAATAGTTTCCGCTCACCAGGAAAAAAAAGTGAGAGAGAAAGCAAAGAATGGACGGTAACACTAGTGAAGCTGAACGTTGGCTCTCCATAGCCGAGAAGCTCTTGGTGTCACGTGACTTGCACGGGACTCGTACGTTTGCGATCCGAGCAAGGGAAACGGCGCCGGTTCTTGCCGACCAGATCCTCGCCGTGACCGACACTCTCTTGGCGGCTCAATCGAACCCTCAAGACTGGTACGGGATACTCCAACTCGTTCCGTTGACTCAGTCCATGGAGGTGGTGGCGGGTCAGTACAGGAAACTCTCTCTCCTCTTGAATTACGGGAAGAACGGGCTGTCGTTCGCGGATCAGGCGTTTCGATGCGTTTCTGAAGCTTGGAGTGTGTTGTCTAACCCGTCTAAGAAGAGCATTTATGATAATGAGTTGAGGTTCTGCATTTCGGCCCGGTGAGTCAGTTCGGTCAACAGTATCATCATCATCAACAACAGCAGCAAGCGCAATTTCAACAGCCGCCTCAAACGCAGACGTTATTTATGCAACCGCAGCCGCCGCCGCCGAAAGAAACACAAACTCTGTTCATGCAACAGCCTCCGAAAGAGACGCAAACTCTTTTTATGCAACAACCGGCGTTGCCGCCTCCTAAAGAAACGCAGACGTTGTTTATGCAACCGCCGACGCATCCGCCTCCGAAAGAAACGCAACCTCTGTTTATGCAGCCACCGGCGCCTTCGCCTCATAAGGAAACGCAGACGCTATTTATGCAACCGCCGTTACCTCCACCTCCTAAAGAAACGCAACCGCTATTTGCGATAAGTAGCCCTACGAATAGTAGTAAAGATGGGAATGCTGCATTTGAAGGGGGAGGGCAGTTGGGTTTAAATAACAATCCGCCGGAGCCAACTCCCCCGGCTGAGTCAACTTGGTCGGTGCAGATGAATCAGATAGGTTTAGTTGGGCCGAGTCAGATTAATCAATCAGGACTAGTTGGTTCGAGCCACATTAGTCAGCCAGAGCCTACATGGACAAGCCACGTTAATCGGCCGGACCCTACCCAGGCGAGCCAGGTTAATCTGCCTGAGCCTATGCCAACTAGCCAGGTTAATCAGGTAGGAATTGCTAGCTCGAGTGAATTTAATCGGACCGAGCCGATTCAGAGAGTTGAAATTAAGCAGAAACCACGTCCTTCTCCTCCTCCTCCAGCAGCAGAGCATACTCGAACAGAGTCCAATGGTTTGACTGGGAGGACTGATTCGACTCGGCCTAGTCAAGCCACTGAGTCACAGGGACCGACTTTCTGGACAGCTTGTCCGTACTGTTACATTCTCTATGAGTATCCTAAAATGTACGAGGATTGTACACTAAGGTGTCAAGCTAAGAATTGCCGGCGAGCTTTCCATGCAGTTGTGATACAGCCGCCGCCAGTGAACGGAAATGTTACCCATTTCTGCTGTATGGGGTTTTTTCCATTAGGGTTTTCGGGAAAAGATAAGAATAAGGGCAGCAAGTTTCCCAGTTGGTCCCCTATTTCCAACATGTTTGCTTGTCCCATGGACGATGTCACTGGAAAACAAAAGTCTGCTCCAAGAGTGTATTACGAAGATTATGATTCATATGTAGAGATTTTTGATTCGAGTGGACCTTCGGAGGATGACTACGATGACGATGAATGGCAGAAATATGAGAGGAAGAAGAAGAAGGCAAATAATGCCAAAGGGAAAGGATCTGCTGGGAGAAAACCTAAGAAAGCACCGAGTGCGACAGTGGATAAGGGGAGCAATCAGCAAGTTAGTGCGACTCACAGTGCAAAGTTGAATGGTGTTCCGATGGCAATTGCGGGTCGGCTAACTGCTGAATCGAGCAGCCAGAGTGTAACGAATAGTGGGAGGAAGCAGATGGTGAAAGGAGCAAAGAGTCTGGGGAAGTTGGATTTGAATGTGGAGTTTAGCAATGAAGGAGAAGAGCCGGTGGCGAGGAGGAGCGAGGGGAACCGTGCTAGAACCGGGGAAGAGGATAACATTGAAGGGAATGGGTTTTTTGAGGGTCTTGATGAGTTCTTAAGTAGCTTGCCTATACTCTCCAATGTTGGGGACGAAAAAGTTAAGGCTACTTAGTGAAGTAAGATCCTTGTTTCCTTTTTGTAGCAGCTGTAGTTGTTCTAAATCTAGTTGTATGCTTGTAGTATCTAATCATGTTGGAGGAACTCAGGATCTCCTTTCATAGCCTTTTCAGGGATGCAGTTAACTGTATATTTGGTATCATCGTATGTTGTCGTCATTTTTATTGTTCCGAGCTGCCTGTTTATTCCTAGTGAATTTTCCTGTTTGGGAGGACAGGTTAGGAAGTTCGGTACATAACCATGAGACATTTCGGGTTGAGGATCGAATATCTGCCAATCATAATTCTTGCAAGTTTCCCTCTTTTAGAGAAGGGAAAGAAATAAAAGGGCCGATGCTGTGATATACTGATGGTGAAAAAAATATGCTTTGAGAAAAGTTGAACCGGGCTCTTTAGGCTGTTAGTATTGCTTTTTTAGAAGGGTAGGGGATTAATAGCAGAAGAAGATTCAGTTGTTAGGGGTTCAATTACTAATGCCTGTGTTCTAAGCATAACTCAGCAAAGGTTATTTTTCACTGGCATTTAACTCTTTCCATTCAATGCAATAATATTAGCTTTAATATACTCTTTTGTTGATTGTATCCTTGCTTTTACTTTATGTGTGCTTGTAATTCATGCATCTTTCGCTATCATGAACACTTTAACTAGAATTACTTATCGACAACAATAATAGTTACTTTGTTCGTCTTGGTTCAGTATGGATTGCCCGAAACCAGGCAGTCATTTGAAGAATGGACTTCCCTCTGTTCTTTCCGGTTCTTTTCTTTTTGTACTTCAATGGCGTAAGCATCCAAATCTTTCGGTAATATGTCACAAATAATCCTTACGTCTTAGGAGTATAGAGATTTCAGTCTGAAGGAGTCGTATTGTCTGACTCTGGTTTAAGTATGTAGTTTCATCTTCTAGTTTCAGAGAATCACAATCTTGCTGGTATGCTAATGATCTGACTATTGTGATAACTGATAAGCTCCTTGTCCTTGTATTTGAAGGGTATTCCCAATTATTTTTCACCATTTTCATGTATTTGAAGGGTCTTTGGAGGAATCATCGTACGGTAGCCGACTCTTCTATGATTAGCCCAACCAAGATAGTCTAAACAATAAATCTAGTTAGTTGCAACATGAATGGCTGCAGATTTTAGATGTTCCTCTTACATATGTGTTATTATTTTTGCTTTCTTTCCCCTTCCTTCGTGGTTGGCGTTGATGTTGCTCCGACAGATTTCTGTCAGCGAAGAAAGAAATGTCGGAATTCCAACTGATTTTCTTGATGGAGTTCGGAATCGTTGCAGTTTGTTGCTCCGACTCATCGTTTCTCTTCCACCATCCATGTCTGGTGCATATCGGGACATTAGTTTGGGAGCTGAAATCGTCTCACGGTCATATAATCAAATTGCATTCAAGTAATGATGAATGAATGAATGAGAAGTTGAGCTAACAAAAAAGATTCTTGAAGCCAAAATTGCCCAAGGTTCATGAGGTGTTAAAACTAAAATTGCCAAAAGTTATGAGTATTACCCAGAATCCTTAAGATATCGAAACCAGAATTGTTCAAAATTTAATTATCATTCGCAGTAATTATCAACTATAAATGTTATTTTATAAATTTTAATATTTGATGAGTAATTTAATTAATTCATATTTAGATAACGATACTCGAATTTAGTGTAGATAATGAATGAATTAAGATTTTAAAGTAGATATGCATATCTATCTAAAATTTTATAAGATTTTAGATATCATATCTATAATTTGAACCCGATTATCCGAACCCAGATCCCAAATAGACCCGAAACTAATAACCCAAATTTGACCTGAAACTTGAAAAAATCGAATCAAACCAAAATCAGCCTGAATTTTAGCTAAATCGAAAGTAACCCAAACTGAAAGTAGCTCAAACACAATTGAAACCGACCCGAAATTAATCAAACCAAAAGCAACCCGAACCGAAAGCAACCAAACTGAAAATAACCTAAACCGAAATTAACCGGAATTTAATTTACCCAAACCCGATCTTTTTTACAAATATATATCAATAACTCTATATATACTTGATTTGATTTATACTCAACTCAACCTGAATTGACATAAAAATCCAAAGTTGACCAAACCGAAAATAATTGATCAGATATTGACTTGACCCGAAAATCAACCGATCCGACCCGAAATCAATCGATCCGATCCGAAATCAATCGATCCGATATTGACCCGACCTGATACCCAAACCTACCCGACTTACTATAAACTCGAATAAAACCGAAACCCGAAATGATCTGACTCGACCCGGACCCGACCCGACTTACTATAAACCCGAATAAAACCGAAACTTGAAATGACCCAATTCGACCCAAACCTGACCCGAACCGAACCCGATCCGAGTGAGTTTGCCACCTCTAATCATATCATTGTCACTCTACTCAGGATGGACGCAGCTGCCATACTTTAAAGATTACAAAATGTAAAGCAATACTTGTTTGAAGAAAGATTAATGAGCATCCGCATTATAATTATATGGCCAAAGTAATATTGAGGTGAATAAAATTTAATTTGATTTTAATTTATTGAGAGATATTAGATAAAAAAAGGTATTGTTTCCTTAGAGATATCGAGTTCGAACAATTACGTCTATCATAGTATGTATACATTATCAATGACTTTGATGAAATTACACCACCACTCAGGGATTCTAATCCATTTTTATGGTTGAAAAATAAGGAGAAAAATCAAATCCCTTTTCAAAAATCAAAATTTTTGTCTTGACTTGGACGAACTTACACTGAATATTTTAATTTATTTTGGACTGCTAAGCCATTTATTATGTCAATTGCAAGTAACCAAACTTTAGCAGCTTAATTCCCTTCTGTCCTCTAATTTTACATGTATGTAGTTGGTAAATAGTTGAACAAATAACAACAAATAAAGCTTCTGCCTGTTATTTTATACAATCTGATCTGTGTAAATTTTTATATAGTAAAATTTATGGGGTTCATATATGGTATAATATTTATATTAATATTTGTATGTGTCGAATGTATAATTGGGAGTCAAATGTATGTCATCAATTCAGAGTTTCATAAGGCGTCAAGTAAGGAATGGGTGGGAATTTGGGCTAACAAAATGCAGATTTTCTCACTAAACACTTGGAAAATCCAATTGTTTTCCACTTCCCAATACCTATAAAAGGCTAATTAGCGCATGTAATTGCATAAACAACCAATACTCGAGCAGTTCTTATTCTCATCTCATCTCGCATCTGTTTCCCTCAACCATGGCTTCCCATCGTTTCCCTTTCTTTGCACTACTACTGACTTTGTCATTGATGACCTACGACACCATCTGGTCGATGCCTAACCTCTCTTAGAAGAGTCCATTCCTATAAAACCTGAGCTTCCTAAACTGGAGTTTCCGCAGATATCGTCCTTACCAAAAGTTGAACTCCCAAAACCCGAGTTACTGGATATTTCAAAGCCTAAAATACCTAAAATACCTGAGTTACCTAAGTCTAAATTGCCTAAGGTTCCCGAGTTTCCAACAATGCCAGATTTGCCAAAGCCTTAACTTCCTAAAGTTCCAGAGTTGCCAAAGCCTGAATTGCCTAAGGTCCCTGAGTTTCCAACAGTGCCGGAGTTGTCAAAGCCTGAATTTCCTAAGGTCATGAATCGACTAATGTAATACCCCAAATTTTGACCAGTGACTAAAATGTAAGTTTTGAAAGTTTAGAGGCTAAAGTATAAACATTAAAAAGTTTAGGGACCAAAATTGTAATTTTTAAAACTTATATATTTTAGCTTGTAAATGAACAGTTTGGATTAAAACATATATTTTAGTGAGAATCAGATTTTCGGTACGAGATTTGTGTTAAAAGCTATAAAGCGGTAAAATTTGGTATTGAAATTGGATAACCGGATCGAATCGGAAAATTAAAAAAATTTGAAGGAAGGTAGACTTGGGTTGGAAATTTTGTATGGATATTTTTAATGAGTGGAATTTAAGTTGGATTGGTGTAATTTGGTGAGAATTGCACTATAAATTTAAATAGTGCAATTTAATGACTAAAATGAAATTTGGGAAAAATTGGAGGGTCAAAAAGAAATTTTGAGAGAGGATAATTTTACTTTTTTTAATACTATTAAAATAGAGATGAAGGAGTGGCATGGGTGTAATTTTGGGAATTCATTAAGGGTAGTTTTGGTATTTGGCCCAAGAAGAATAAAAAATATCAATGAATAGTTTTAACAATTATTAGTTGGAGATTTTTTTTAGAATTCTCCTGAAACTATCTCTTCTTTTCTCCAGCATCTGGACGAAACTCTATAGCCAAAACCACGACAAATCTAGAAATCGGGACGATTCAAAAGGAAAAGAAAAAGCACGTGATTAGAAATATCGCTTAAAAGAATCTATAGTTAGGCAAAGGTGAGTGTAGTTATTTATTTAATTATTTTGATCGATGACAACTTGTGATAAGTTAACCTCATTTCAATTGACAGCATGATTTATAAAGTTTATAAAGAATATTTTTATAATATTCTATATCAGTTTTATGAAAGATTTATGGTATGAATTACTCAAACATGATATTTTTATGATGGAATTATTATGATACATCAACCCATTGTGTGTAATAGTGAGAACTGTTGGTACACTTGGCATGCCATTAGTTGAGTATTTATCCATTATCAGATTTGATACATTCGTGTATCAATGTTATCATATCAGCTTTGGCACATTCGTGTATCAATGTTATCATATCAACTTTGATACATTTGTGTATCAATGTTATCATATCAGCTTGGGTACATTCGTGTATCAATGTTCAGCACCGTTGGTGTTTATTCAGGTTATGATGGCACTGAAGTGCATCATATCTCAGAATCAGTTACGATTTGCATCATGTTGTGCATAGTGTGCACCTTACTCAAGTATCTTATGTTCTCATAAATATGCATTGGGCTATGAAAATGAATATACAAGTTGTGAATGAATTCCAGTTGACAGAAAGCATGATATGTTTATTTTATCAGATATGATTTATAAGAATTTTCATGAGTTCATGATTTAAAAAGAAATTTCAGGTCTCAGAGAAGAAATCGACTTGGAAAAGTTGGTTTGTCAGTTTAATGTTTTAATTCGAATTATTTTATTTATGTTTATGATATTTTCAGATTTTTGTCACCTTAAATTATTACTACCTCACTAAGTTATATTTAGCGCGTGATGATTTTCATGCGTAGGGTCTGATTGAGATACAAACGTTTTATGAGGAGCCTTCCAAGCATCATGTGCAAATCATCTATAATACCAGTA